CCCCCCCACGCGCGTCCCGGGAGGCAGGGGGGCAGCCCTGCCGCAGCCTGGCTGAGCTTGGCTGTGGGCATGGGCCGCCAGGGCTGTGTGAGAAGCACCGCTGGGACCAGATTCCTCCCATGCTGCCCGGGCCTGCTGGGTGTGGGCCAGACCCTCACTCACCTTGGAGGGTGGTCACCCTGGCTGTCTGTCCTAAGAGACCGCGGAGCCCTCCTGCCTGTGCTGACCCGTCCCGCCTGCCCACAGGTGAGCGTGGCAGCTCGCATGGCACAGAAGATGTCCTTCGGCTTCTACAAGTACAGCAACATGGAGTTTGTGCGCATGAAGGGGCCACAGGGCAAGGGCCACGCTGAGATGGCCGTCAGTCGTGTGTCCACTGGTGACACGTCCCCCTGCGGGACCGAGGAGGACTCCAGCCCGGCGTCCCCCATGCACGAGCGGGTAAGGACTCCACGGCGGGGAGGGCTCAGGCCCTTGGATCACCTCATACCGCCCGCATCCTGATGGGCCCCTGGGAAGTAGGTGGGTACCTGCTGATGAGGGGGCCGGGGCTCAGAGAGTGGCATGCCTTGCCCAAGATCACACAGCAGCCAGGGCCTGGCCCAGAGCGCTCTCCTTCCCTGAGCTGCCACTGCAGCCAGATTGAGCCTGCGTGGGCCGCAGACAGGAGGGGCCACCCAGACGCTGAGGCCTGGCCCGGGCTCCTTGTTGGGCCTGCTGGGTGAGGGTGGGCCCTGCCCTGGGGGGTCCAGTGGGGATGATGGCCACCCAGCTTCCCCAGCTGCCACGGGAGGCTCCTCCAGAGGGCAGAGACCCGGGCCACCAGCTCCCCTTCGTTAGCAGCGGCCTGGCTGCGGGAGGCAGAGGCCTCCTGTCCTTCAGACTCGGGAGCCCCGGCCTGCAGGATGCCTCAGCTCACATGTTCGTGAGCCACAGCTCTGGGCCTCTGTGCCTGGCTGTGTGTAGGCCACCATCCTTCCCTGCTGGAGAAGCCGAGGTCAGTGGCTGCTTTATTTCCAGAAGCTTTTGGGGGGCCCAGGCAGGCGTGAACCTCCAGCCCACTGACTGCTTTGCTTGGGAGAGGCAGCCGGGCAGGGCGTGCCCTCCGCGTCGGCCTGGGAGGCAGCCCGGCCCAGCCTCGTCCGGAGGAAGTCCGTGGCTGGAGCCTGGGCGCTGCTCCCTGAGTGCTGTAGGCACGGCTTCCCCTCTCTGGACCTCAGTTTCCCATTCAGAAGTTGGGGGGAGCTCTGGCTTCCTGAGTGTGGGGGCTATGGGGTGTGCTGCACACAAGCAGTTTGTGTGGGGCGTGGCCCACAGGAGATGCCCCCAGGTAGCAGCGCCCGCCGTAGGTACCGTGGACAGTCGGTCCACTTGGAAGGACCCCAGGGAGTGTGTCCAGTGTGTCCAGGCCGATGCGCCAAGGTGAGGCGTGTCCACTGCACTTCGGTTCCGTGCAGGCACCTGAGTCCGCACAGCCCGGTGTCCAGACGCTCTCTTCTTTCTACCTTTTAAAAAATGTTGGGAACCAGCAGTTAGCGTAATGGCTATGTCGCTGGACTCCCACGTAGTCAACTGCAGTTTGCGTCCCGGACCCGGTGGCTTAAAACTCATGCCGGGCGTGTGTGCGTGTGTGCCCAAGATCCCGAGAGGAGAATAGAGGAGAAGGGATTGCGGCGTGACCATCCCCTCTGGGGCGTGATTTCTCTCTTTCTGTTTCTATGTCTCTCTCTGTCTGTCTGGCGAGCGCACGCGCCCTATAGCGAAAATCTCTCCAAAAAAAAAAAAAAAGTAGAAAAATGTTGATATCTTCTGTGATCAGTGTGTTCTACAAACCAGACAGCAGTGTTCTGTGAAGGGCTGTGGGGGCCACAGGCAGGGCCTCCTGTCTCAGAAGGAGACAGTCGGTGCGTGAGTCCCTCTCTGAGTCATGGAGCCTGGTTCTCTTGAGACTTGTCTTCCTGTCTGTGAAGCGGGAGGGGCTGTGAGGGCGTGAGAGTCCCTGGCCCCTTGCTGCAGGGAGGCCCTGGGGTTGGTGGGGACGGACTGGCCAGGCCGCGCTGCGTCTGCGGCAGGACCTGACCCGCGGGCCGCACCTCCATGCTCACCGTTGCCCGGCCTTTCTTCCCGTGACAATGCAGACTGTATGTACTGTGGTTTCTGGTGGCTTTTCTTTTTTCTTTTTCTTTTTTTTAATCTTTTAAAAATCTTCCCCTGCTTGTGGGAGGACTGTCCACAGCTCAGCAGCTGCCGGGACTCAGTGGATGTCGGAGCCATAACGAGAGACTGACGGGGCTCCCGAAGTCTTGGTCCCAGCTCATCTTGCTCCTCAGATTCTTGTTTGCATGGGGAGGAGGGAGGAGTTGGGCCAAGTTCCCTCTGCCTGGAACGCCCTTCCCCCCCTTCTTCACCTGGCGAACTCCTACTCGTCCTTCAAGACCCAGCTCGAGCAGCACCTCTTCCAGGAAGCCTTCCCTGATTTCACAGGCTGTCGCTCCCTGTGTCCTGTGCTGCTATCTCTGTCTTGGCAGCCAGCATGCTGTGCGTGATTGTCATTCTCCAAGTCTGTCGCCCCCGGAAGACTGAGCCACCGGAGAGACACGGACAGTGTCATGTGCCCATCTGTCCCTAGTGCCATGCCCGCCTGCCCTGTGTGGGGTGGCAAGCCTTTGGTGAACAGTGGAGGGGAGGCATGGAGCTCCTTGGCATAGTACTTACACACAGCCGGTGGGGCCGCCGGAGCTGAGAAGAGCATCAGGTGGGGATCGTGGCCAAGGCAGGAGGCCTGCGTGGCCATGCCAGTCTTGCCTCGTGGTGTTGGCTGCCCGAGGCTGGGCCAGTCACTGCCCCCGCCCTTCCCTCACTTGTAAGGTGGGCTTGTGCTGGCTTCCATCTCACAGGGTGGCCAGGATGGCCTGTGGCCAGAGTCTGAGCTGGGAGGCACCCCCTGCTGCCTGT